CACAGCCACGTACCCAGTGGCTGAGCTGAGTGGTTCCGACACAGAAGCGTGGCCTGCAAAGCCTAAAATCCTTACCATTTGGTCCCTTGGAGAAAAAGTTTACTGACCTGTTCCAACAGACGTCACAGCTGTACAATTCTTTTTTTTTTTAACCACCCACCTATGGAAAAAGTAACTCGTCTCGGCCGGCCGGCTGATCTGTAAGGGTCTTTCCTCGGAAGCCAGGATTTGGCATCACTGTACTTCTTTTAAAAAAGTCTCAAAGACTAAGCTACCAACCCGGAACTGGGGTTCAGAATCACAAGGACCCACGCCACCTCTGAGTGGTGTGGAATGACTAAATATTTAGCAGAGAAAGAAGGTGAGCGCCGATAGAACGCTGGAGGCTGCCTCTCCAGCCCCCACCTCTGCCCCTAATATTTTCCTTACGGCAAGCAAATCCTGGAAGAAAACGCACGGGAGCTACGTCAGGCACTGTGAGTGTGGACACTGTGAGCGTGGACACTGTGAAAGGCCGCGAGGGCTGGGAGGGCACAGCCAGAGCCGGGAGGGGGACTAGCAACCCCCAAGGGTAGAGGCTCCGGGGTTAGAGAGTCCGTGCACCTGCTGGCTCACGATGTGCATGAAACTAGCACTCCCTGTTGAGTTTTCATTTGCATGAGCCAATACAGGTCTTTCATTAGTGAGCGGACTGAGAGGGGTTTGGGGTCATTTCCAAGGAAAAGAGTCCTCCTGCCACGGAAGACCAAGCGTTTGTATGCGGGAACCATCGCAGAGTCGGTGCTCCTAAACCATAACAGCAGTGACAACCTCACCCCAGAGTTCTGAGGCAAGCGAGGAAAAAGGCCTTGTTGAGGGAAGCTGGGGGTGGGGGTGGGGGAGGAGAGACAGGCAGTGCATGTGGGTGCGAACAGACTCCGGTTTTAGAAAACCTAACACTCACGGAGCCCCAGGAGAGAAATGACTCGCTTCGACACTTTGACTCCCAGGACAAAATCTGCATCATACATCTGAATTCACACCCTTGACCTTCTGATCACGTTGCAGCCTCTCACAAACCCGCCCCATCCCTCGGGCTCACCTTCAGGCGATTGACAAGTGGAAAATGGTAGGACATGTGCTCATTCTTCATTATGTCTATAATTAATAGGCAGGATGTTTGGGCCCCTCTCCACTGGCTATTTATCAATACTGTAAGTCTCCGAGGTTCTCTCTGCCTACAATTTAACCAGGAAGCTCAAGGCTGTTGCCTTTCAGTACAAGACACAGACAGCCAAGAAGCACGGGATTTGTGTAGCCATACACACTCATCCCAAATGGAAAGATTTTATTTATGAGAACAAAGAATGTTTTAAAAAGCTCAAAAATATACAAGTTAATACGTTATTTCAAATAAAAGATATCCCCTTTCCTGCCTTACCCATAATCACATATCTAAAACACAGATAATCACTGTTAATAACAGCTTTCGAGACTTTACAAACATTATTTCCCTGTGGAAATGGGACTATGTTTACTTATTTTTTTTACTTCTGGACACCTTTCCTTTTTAGTAATACTGATCGAACTTATCTTTTTTTAAATATATATTTTTTTAATGTTTTATTTATCTCTAGGAGAGAGAGAGAGAGACAGTGTGAGCAGGGGAGGGTCAGAGAGAGAGGGAGTCACAGATTGAAACAGGCTCCATCCAGGCTCTGAGCCGGCAGTCAGCACAGAGCCCGACGCAGGGCTCGAACCCACGAACCGCGAGATCATGACCTAAGCGAAAGTCGGACGCTTAACCGACTAAGCCACCCAGGCGCCCCAGCGAACTTACCTTTTTAACAACTGTGGACTCATCCACTACATAGAGCACCTAAGTTATCGGCCAAGGGACTACTGATAGACATTGACATTTTTTTTTCATAATGACAGCATTCTAAAAATAAACACATTTGCACAACTAGAGAAAGATATATGCATATGTGCTTTTGTTTATTTTATTTTTTTAATGTTTATTTTTTGAGAGAGAAAGAGTGTGAGCGAGGCAGGGTCAGAGAGAGAGGGAGACACAGAATCTGAAGCAGCTCCAGGCTCTGAGCTGTCAGCACAGAGCCCGACGCGGGGCTCAAACTCACAAACTGCCAGATCATGACGTGAGCTGCAGTTAGACAGACGCTTAACCAACTGAGCAGCCCAGGTGCTCCTGCACTTTTGCAAAACAACCTTTTTTATTTTTTATTTTTATTTTTTATAATGTTTTTTATTTATTTCTGATAGAGAGACAGAGAGAGAGAGAGGGAGACAGACAGAGCGAGTGAGCAGGGGAGGGTCAGAGACAGAGAGGGAGAGATACAGAATCTGAAACAGGCTCCAGGCTCTGAGCTGTCAGCACAGAGCCCGACACAGGGTTTGAACCCACAAACCGTGAGATCATGACCTGAGCTGAAGTCGGATGCTTAACCGACTGAGCCACCCAAGCGTCCCTAAAACAGTTTTTTAGACGAAGAATTGCTGATCAGTGGGAATGTGTATTTAAAATTTTGACAAACAGTAAGACACTAAACAAATATTATGACATTTAGAATAAAAAAAAAACCACGTAAATTGGGTACACATGCACGAGGAGGTACAGAACAGTGGTTTTCAACCAGGGGCAATTTTGCCTTCCAGGGGACATTTGACCGTATCTAGTCATTTCTGGTTGTTGAAACTGGGAAGATGCTAACATCTAGCAGACAGAAGCCAGGATACTGCAAAGCAGCTTACAATGCACAGGACACCCCCACTCCCCGGAAATAATCATTCAGCCCAATATGCCAAGAGTGCTCAGAGTGAAAAATCAAAAACAAAAACCCAAAACTGGTCTCGGCTTATATATCATACTGTCCACAGTAGCAATCTTTGAGGAGTAGAGGACAATTGTCACTTATACTTTCATACTGTTTTGTGGGGCTCCTTCACAACGAACACACACTAGTTAAGAAACAACACTTCCATAAACAAAAGGTCTGCCTCGCCTTGAGATAAAATCAGTCTCTATAGCTTCTCACATTGGTTCTGTGTCGTGGGGACAAGTTCTGAAAGCAGCTAATAAGTTTCATTGAATCTTCTCTTCATCAGACTAATCTCCGTTCTTCTGAACGTTCTTAAAGGAAACAGTTTTAGGTCATTTCACCAATCTGACTGCTATATCTATCAAGAACAAGGTACCAAGTGCTGATCCCCAAACTGTAGTTTTGTACTCTGACCAGCAAAAAATGGAATTATCTCCCTCACATTCAGCTTATTAATACATTCAATTTTTCCATACACATCATAGTGAATTCATATTTCCCCTATCTTGCACTTTTATATTGCTTTTTAATTTTTTTAAATGTTTATTTTTGAGAGAGAGACAGAGAGAGAGCAGGGGAGGGGTGGGGGGCAGAGGATCCCAAGCGAGTTCTGTGCTGATAGCAGAGAGCCAGATGGAGGGGTCAAACCCATGAGCAGTGAGATCATGACCCGAGCCGAAGTCGGACACTTACCCGACTGAGCCACCCAGGTGCCCCCAATTTCTTTTATTTAAATTTAAAAATCAGTATAAGGGCGCCTGGGTGGCTCAGTCGGGTAAGTGTCCGACTTTGGCTCGGGTCATGATCTCACGGCTCCTGAGTTCAAGCCCCGCGTCAGGCTCTGTGCTGACAGCTCAGAGCCTGGAGCCTGCTTCAGGTTCTGTCTCCTTCTCTGTCTGTTCCTCCCCTGCTCATGCTCTGTCTCTCAAAAATAAAGAAAAGAAAAGAAAATTAAACATTAAATATGAAACTGAAGCGGCTGATTAACTTTCCTTTACTACCCTGCAGAGTGTACCATCTAGTGTTTAGAACACAGTGAAGACAATTTGAGTTACACTGTAGCCAGGAGCAGACGGCCTCAGCCACCTGGCTTGGATATTGGGGTTATATAAATATCGCTACTGACGCACTTAAAAATCCCCTAACAGGGTAAGAGACTGTAGATTCTTACTCAGGACACTGCACCGATGTATGAGATCACGGAAACTGGTAGGGTTACCTTACTGAAGGTAAGGTGTTCTTTACCTGTTACACACTCGATTTCAACCTGTGGACCGACATGTGTTGTGTTACATATTACTTACACCTATAGTGTCTCAATTCTTCGCACATCTTTGGGACTAAACTAATTGCTCAGCATATGTTCAATGAGTAAGTGCACAAACCTTCACTCCTACATGCAATACACCTGCCGGCAAACACCTGTAACAGGGCTTTCACTCCTTGCACCGTTTAAAATAATACGTAGCAATAAGTCTTAAACGTACCCCAAATAAGTGGATTCACGAAGGCATAAAGCACACACGGAAGGGTTGGATAAACTCTACGCTTGGAGGATAAATTAAGGAAACAGGAAAAGAAAGATTCGAGGATGCACAATGAAGATGAAAAAAATTAATAAAAATGAGAAATTCCCCACTAACACTAGCACACTCCCACGTCGTTTCCACCTCACGAGGGACAAGCTTCCGGGAAAAAAAAAAAAAAAGAGAGAGAAGAAGGCAGGGCTCCGTGCAGAAGCCCCCGCGGAAAGCGCGCAGGGCCGCGGGCGCCCCGCTGCCCGCCACGCCCCCGCCCGGCCCGCTCGGCCGCCGCCCGCGGGGGCGCTGCCCGGAGGCCTCGGCTCGGCCGCGGCCACGGAAGGGGGAGGCGGGTGGGCGGGGGCCGAGCCCTTCCAGATGCCGCAAGCCCGCAAGAGAGCCGGCGACCCGCACGCCCGGACTCCGAGCCGCGCACCCGAGGGTCCCGGGACGCGGCCCCGCGGGCCCCGCCAGCCGCCCCCCGCCCCTTCCTCAAGCCGTTATCGCCGCGGCCCCACCCCTCGCCGCCGGCGGCGCCCCGTGCCGCGCGCCCCAAGGCGCTACCCGGGCCGACCGCGGCGCGAGGCAGCGGCTCGCTGGAGGTGCGCCCGGGGCCGCAGGCCACGTCCGGGAGGTCGAGGAGCGGGGCGCCCTCGCGTACCTGCACTTTCCTGCGCCCTGCCGTGTTCTGCCGGTGATGGGCCGCCATCTTGCATGTTGACACTCTTACGTCACTTCCGGAAGTGCCTCGGACCGGGCGGATGTCCCGCCTCTTCCCCTCTCGCCGGGGGCCGGTGGTGAAGCCGGAGCGGCGCGGTGTCGGGCTCCCCGGCCCGGCGGCGGGGCCCGCGGCCCTCGGGTGCGGTGGGGGCGCCCGCAGACCGGTGTGTGGCCTCGCGCCGGCCGAGAGCGCCGCCCTCGGAGCCGAGGGAGCGAGCCGCGTCCCGCTGCGTGGCCTTCGGCCCCGCCCTGCGCTCGGACGCGCCGCCAGAGGCGCGCAGGCCTGCGGGCCCCGCGGGAAGGACGGGGGCGGCCGTGCGGGGCTGGCCGCCCCGGCCCTCTGGGCCGCCGGGTGCCTGCAGTTGTAGGGTCACAAGTCGCTTTCCAAGGGGGAGACGTAGAAGGTTCGCAAAGAAGGAGGCCCACGTCCTCAGGAGGAGCAAACGTTCTGTTTAAATAAGATAGAAGGGTGTTCTCGGAAGGCGCACGTTAGAGGCGCTCCCAGAGGCAGCTTAGTTCTGGGGTGAGGCCCACTCTGGCCCCTGCTCTAACCCCTCGGGCTCGCCGACACCGGACGACAGAGTCGCTCGACCCTCTCCTGACGCCAGCTCGGGCCGGGGAGGGTCGACTCCTGGAGAAAGTGGGCTCTGTAGCCCCGCCCTGCCCCCGGCGTCCGCTCCCCGCGCGGCCGGTGCGGACCGACAGGCCGAAACTAAAGGACTCCCCGCCTTTCAAAGAAAGGGTGAAGAGAACGTGAAATAGTTCATCAGTAATTTTTATGTAGATCTTATGTTGAAATACTGCAAAATAAAATCGATTATTTCTTTTTACTTTTCATGATGTGGCCATCAGTGTATTTGACGTTGCCTACAAAGCTCACAGATTTCTATTGGCAGTGCCAGTGTAGAATGATGCTCTGGAAAGTTCTTGTCTGGACAAATGCCTTTCTAAATTAATAAATGTGGATTAGAAGAGTAGAAACTGATATCAGAAAGCTTCTTAAAACTTGCAATGGTAACGTGTGTGTGTTTTTAAGTCTACTTCTTTTGAGAGAGAAAGAGAGACAGCGTGAGCAGGGGAGGAGCAGAGAGAGAGGGAGACACAGAATCCCAAGCCGGCTCCGCACTGTCCGTGCACAGCCTGGTGCGAGGCTCTAACTTACGAACCACGAGATCATGACCTGAGCTGAAACCAAGAGTCGGACACTCAACTAACTGAGCCACCCAGGCGCCCATGGCAGTGATAACTTATAGATAAGTTACTGCACTTCATTATGACACATTCAGTCATTTATTCATGTGTTCATTCAACACAATATTATTTAGCGTCTGTTAAGTGCTGGCACTATATTAGGTGCTGGGCATCTAGTGGTCAGTGCGCATAATCACAGTACTTAGAACCCCTGGGGAAGGCAGGATTTAAGTAAACACATAAATGAATATGGAATAAGTACAGAAAAATGGCTATAAGACAGGAAAGGATCCTTGACTCAAGATCTGAGGATGGAGTTAATTTGGCAAGGAGAGGAGACAGTCTGAGCAAAGGTCTTGTGGCAGGAGGGAGCATAGGACATTCCAAGAATTGAGGACCAGTGCTTAAGAGTACAGAGAACGAGGAGGAAGAGGAGACAGGTGCTATATACCCAGCAGGGTCTTTGAGAGCAAGAGGAAGCTGGTGAAGAGGAAGCTTAGACAAGGGAGGGACGTGATCCATTTAAAAAAATGATTTAAAAAATGCCTATTGCGTACCCACGATGTGCCAGACATTGCTCAGGCTTATTGCTCTACACGATATGGTGGTACCTTCCAGAAATGGGTTGTTAGATCGCAGCGGTCCTACTTGGGTCCTGAAGAACAGTGAAGTCATGAAGTCCTTATAATGTGCAGAATATCCAGCAGTACTGGGGCACCTGGGGGGCACAGTTGGTTAGGTGCCTGACTCTTGATTCCAGTCAGGATCTCACGTGTGTAGTTTCGAGCATTGGGCTCTGTGCTGACAGAGCGGAGTCTGCCTTGGATTCTGTCTGTGTCTCTGTCCCTCCCCACTTGGACTCTCTCTGTCTCTCCAAAATAAATAGAATACATATGAAGAAAAGCTAAAAAAGAAAAGAATATCCAGCGGTATGTCTTGAAGTTCACTTTGCTGAAAGGAAAGACGGTCTTGGGTAATCATTCATGGCAGAAGGCTAATCGTTTGGCCAGTTGGTCAAGGACACTGCAAAGAGCAAGACTGGGGAACCGATGACAAGGAAGATTTGGGACGGGATGTGTGGATGGACCTAGCGCAGTGATATGACGCTCTGTGGAGGAGACCGCCTCCTTTTCCAGGCTCAGCACTTGCTCAGTGGAATCATGAATGAAATGGAAAGGATAACAGGTTGGAGCTCTGCCTAGGACCGCCAAGCACTGCCGAGTGTCCAGGTTGCCGGCAGCAATGACCAGTCCGGAGTAGGTGAGGTGACCCCTGCTCCAGGGGGAAGCAACCAGCCACTTGGAGGTAAGTCAATTCCTTTGGCCCCACCCTGTCATCGAGAGAGAGGAGTTACTTGTGCTCTCTGGAACATACTTACTCTAGACTTAGATTTGCTTCCCTGCTTGCTGTGCTGGTGTTAACACCACCATCTGGGGATTTAATGAGTGCTTTATATACAGTCATTGTGTTTGATACCATATAGCATCTGACCAAGAGTTTCACTCTGTAATGAAAGAAGTGATGCAATGAGCCATTGCTCATAGAATTCATTGGTCTCATTGCATTGTCTGTCTCCAGGAAGCACACGTCTTACTGAAGACATTAGTTATAGTGCTTTCTTGGAGATAGTCCTTTTGGCAGCATATGCTTTCAACTGGTGTCCAATATTCGGTACTTTTTCATCATGTTCTTGCTGCCTATTGCTGTATAACTACCCCAAAACTTAGTGGTTTAAAACAACTACAATTTTTACTTTGCTTACAAATCTGTAATTTGTGCAGGGCTTGTGAGGACGGCTTATCTCTGTTTCACTTTACACTTAATGCTAGCGGGGGGGGGGAGGCAGCCAAAAAGTTGGGGCCTGAAATCATCTAAAGGCTCCCTCTTCCACATGTCTGGGGGCCGATGCTGAGTCTGTGGCCAGAACATCGACTCGTGGCCTTTCTGCCGTGCTGTTTGGGTCCTCACAGCATCATATCTGGGTTCCAAGGGCCGGCATCCACAGAGAGAGAAATCTGGGTGGAAATGCCTTTTCTAAACTAACAGTGGAAATCCTACAGTATCGCTTCAAAACCACATTCAGTGCGTTAAGAGTTAGTCATTAAGGTTGGTTATACCGAAGGAAACTCTATTTTTTTTTTAATGGAAGAAGTATCCAAGAATTTGTGGGGTTTTTTAAAATATATTTTTTAAAAGTTTATTTTGAGGGGCGCCTGGGTGGCTCAGTCGGTTAAGTGTCTGACTTTGGCTCAGGTCATGATCTCGTGGTTCATGAGTTCAAGCCCCACATCAGGCTCTGTGCTGACAGCTCAGAGATTGGAGCCTGCTTCAGATTCTGTGTTTTGCAGGCCTTGTGTCACTGGCGAGGCAAGAGAAGGAAAAAGAGAAGAATAAGGCTGTGGCGTCAGCCGGAGTGATTCACCCTGATCATCGAGCAGATGGTTCCGTCCCTTAGCAACGAAGGCACTGGCTGAAGGTAAAGGGAACACGGAATGGCTGGTGAAGAAAGGGAGCCACCACCGTGGTGAAGTCCTCATGATCAGGGGAAGAAGTGAGCACGGCATCTTGTATGTCCTTTCTTGAAGAGCATCATGTACACTTTTAAGTGTTGTAATTTTTATTTTATTTCTTGGCCCTCTACTCCACTGTCGTATGTAGGGTGTGCTGTTGTTGGCAAACTTCATTATTTAGCCTGTAAGTTACAAAGGAGTGGATACCAGCTGGAAGTCCTGGCCTTAGCAATGGACAGATGGGCGCGGGCACTGATGAAACGGTGACTGACGGTCTGGGAGGGTTGCAGTGCGAACACATCTTTGACTGTATGAAGGGTATTTGCAACATTTTAAGTGGCAACTTTTTTTTGAAGTATAAGCATTGAAAGCCGTGGTTGTAGCAGTGTTGGGCAGCCAAAGAGATGACTTTGAGTTAGACATTTTTGTGGTTTTGTCTTCTGTTGTCCACCATTTGAGTTCTTTTTCTGTGTCTGGGGAATTCCCCGTGGGGTGTCTTGGTGGTGATGAGCACTGCTTACAGAAAGTGAGAAAGACGGTTACTCACTTTTTCTAGCCTTCTTAACAGTGAGAGCGTACGCACGGGAGCTCAGTCTGATCAGTCCGATGACACTGGGACTGCAACTTTATGAGGAACTCCAAGTCAGCACATTCTCCTAAAATATCCCAAATTCCCAATTTTTAGAAACTGCATGAGATAATGTTTCTTGTTTTAGGTACCTTCCTGGTGGGATAATTTCTTACGCAGCAATAGATAGCTGATACATCCTTCCTTCTCCATGAGGAGGGGAAATGTCACAGTACCTTCGTAGCTGTGCAAAGATATTCTCATCATCAGTCTCCACAATCACTATTTCATTCTTTGTCTTGTCTTGTATAACTGCTGGAAGGCTTGTCCTGGAGGAATTCCTTCATCAATCTCTTAGCGTGTCCTGCATGGGCAGATTAGCAACTTTATTCAAAATGCAAGAAGGCTTGACACCTATTATATTGTTCTCAGATTTTGAGACCTCTGCCTAAGGTCCTAGGCAGCATGAAAACTTGGCCATCCTGCAAAACAATCCTCACACAAATTAAATAAAAATGCAATAAATTTAAAAAGTAAATTAGAATTCCACATCCAAATAAACCAGATATGTTCTTATTAAATCTCTCTGGTGGTTGATCCTGCCAGTTACTTGAGCAAGTTAATTAACTTCTCTCTTCAGATTCCATATCTGTAAAATGGAATAACCAGGGCATCTATCTCATGTGGTTCTTAGGAAGGTAAGTGAGATCATCTCTGCTTGGTATAGTGGAAATATCCACTATATTTTAGGTATCATTTTTAATCATCACCTTGCTCAGGAAAC